TACACTGTAACAAGGACACCTTAAAATAAAGTGTAACCCAGTTTTGTTTTTAGATATAGATGCATGTTTTTTTTTTTAAGTTGTCAAATTACTCGAATTGATATTTTTATTTGGCCTTTTGTTCTCAAAACACGTTTGAAAGTCAAACAATGACGAGTGCCAGTGAGGAGGATGCGCGTGGTCACTGGCGCGTGACTGGAAAGATGCAGCGCGCGGTGGTAAATGCGCGGAACGTACGCGAGCCGCAGGAGCGCATTTGGTGAAGCGCGCCAAGTACGCGCTCGCTATTCAGTATTCTGAAGACCCTGGGACAAGAACACTGACATTTCATTTGCTCATTTGGACCTATTTTTTCCAATCCAACCTTAAAGCTGAAATGCTTTTTCTCTGATGATTTCTGGATCATGGATCCTCTATACAACACTTCGCAAAACTCAAGCGGCAACGGGACCAACGGTTCATTGGTCAATGACACGGACTTGTTCTCGAACCAGTTCGTTCAGCCGGTGTGGCAGATAGTTCTGTGGGCCATCGCGTACTGCTGTATAGTTCTGGTGTCAGTTGTTGGTAATATCACGGTCATCTGGATCATTTTAGCGCATAAGCGCATGAGGACTGTGACCAACTATTTTCTAGTCAATCTTGCGTTCGCAGAGGCTTCCATGTCGGCTTTCAATACCGTTATTAACTTTGTGTATGCAGTGCACAACGAGTGGTACTTCGGACTTGTTTACTGCAGATTTCACAACTTCTTTCCAATAGCAGCTGTCTTCGCTAGTATTTACTCCATGACAGCAATAGCCCTGGACAGGTGAGCTATTTCTCTTTTGTGGTACACGTACTATGGTATTCTTTGAAGAACCTTGGAGATCATTGTAAATATCATTGTACATGAATATCCATGGTATACATCGAATTGTATTGCCATCACTTTACGAGCATGATCCTACCACAGCAGCGTTGGGTGTAATGCGTTACCAAATAATTAGTTACTGTAAGTTACTTCTGATGGAATACTGTAGACTATAGCAATTCTATATAAAACAGTAGTGAATTTAACATTAAAAAAATGTACATCTAATGCCAAAATGTATGCTTTTAATGTAACCTTGAACTTTTAAATACTTTGGTCAGTTCAAGAATGATTTATGGAATTTTATATGATTTATTTGAAAGAATTAAAGAGCAGTTTCATGTCTATCCTTGTATTGT